CTGGATTGTGTTCTATTAATAAATGCTCAAAAGCAAAGAGGACACATGAAGTACAACTTATGGCTTGATCATTCCAATTTAAATCGTAAGTTGGATCTTGTTGAGACATCCAATCAAAGGTATCGTGATCCCATATGACAGACTTATAACCCAACTGTTTTGCTATATTCCTTACACGATCATCATAATCACCTCTTGGCGGTCTCATATATTTGGGAGTAAGTCCGGTTATTTCTTTGATGATTTTTTCGGTCCATTTTAATTCAGCTATGATTACTTCGTTTGTTTGGGTCGTTAATGATGTGTGTGACCAAGTGTGAATTCCGATTTGATGCCCTATTAATTATTTTTATTAATATTTATTAATATTTATTTTATTATATAAATGAATTATTTTTTTTTTGTACCTTCTTTAGATGCTCGCAATAAAACATCCGGATGATTTGTAGCTCTGGAACCAATAACAAAAAATGTTGCTTTCAAACCCTTCGACCCAAGATAGTCTAAAATTGTTGGTGTAAATGGTCTACAATAATAATAATAACAATAAATAAAATAAAATAAAATAAAATAAAATAATTTTTTTTATACTTGAAAAAATAAAAATAAACTTACGAAGGACCATCATCATATGTAATACCCCAATCTTTTTTTTTTTATAAAATATAAATTAGATGACGAAGAAAAATCAAATTTTAAGAACATAAATATTTTTTTTTTTATTAAAAAGTTTTACCTCCTTTTTGAGGACAAATTTTAACATCAGTCTCATTTTTTACACAATTAGTACATGACCAATAACAAAATGGATCTTTAGGATCACAAGGATCGCCTACTTTTCTGACAGGAGCATTTGGAACTTTAGAAGAGTCAACAAGAGCAGTCCAAGCTGCGACAGGTGGCGGCGGCGTATCTACTGGAGGGTAACCAGGTCTTTGAGCCTCTATAGCTATTGGTGATAATGCTAACAAATAAATGGCAGTTCCAAATAATAATAATAATGAATTTCTAAACATTTTTCTCTAAAACGTGAATAAAAAAGAAGGTAATTATTTCAAAGAAAATTTTTTTTGTTTATTTATTTTGGTAGTTGGCTGGTTAGTGTATCTGTTCAACAGAGAACTAAAAAAAAATTCTATGAAAATAAAGAAAGATTCTCTGAAGAAAATTCTAATTAGTGAAAAAAATTTAAAAATGAAGAGTCGTCAACTAATAGCTTTATATTTTTTTTTGATATTTATACAGTTTTTAGAAATTAATATTAATATGGTTATTATGATTAATTTACGCGACAATTGGATAATTAAAATTATTTATTTAATTAACTATATAAATCGAATTAAATTTTTAATTTCATGTATATAAAAAATAATAATAGCATACATTCAAATTTTAATTTTAAAAAGTTTTTTAAATCCTGAAATTAATTCTATTCACCAAAGAATGAAGCGCCAAGCTTGCCAAGGAAAAAATTATTTATCTATGTCATATAATGACGAATTTAGTTTATACAATTCTATTTTTGGAATAAATTATATGGTTTTACTTACTCTTGGCTACAACAATGAAAAAAAAAATTTATTATTATTATTTATTATTATGAATCGGCTGTTTTATCAGATAGATGATCCTGATAATGTAAGATCAATTAGAACCATGATCGGGAAACTGATAAAAATAGATTTTATTTATTTATTAAGAAACTAACTGGTTACTCCTAAAGCCTTCAATATTGGTTACTCAGTTTCAAATACGACGCTCCTTATGTTTGAAAACGATAATAACCCTCCCATTACAAATACTTGCTTCATTCTTCCTCTAATCTTTCCAGTCCTCTTATTATTGTTACCAACAACACTTTCAACTTCAATCGAATATTCTGTCTGCTGCCAATTTATAATTTTAACTTTAAAAAAAAACAATTGTAATAAAAAAAAATCTGTGACATACATAAAAAATAAACTAGAAAGGGTAATCCTATATATATATACAGTGTAGGTCATCTAAAGACATCAAAAAAATCGTCCAACTTCAAACCAAAGGCTTTTTTTTTTATTAATAAAATTGAAAAAACTCTATTTTTGCAATCTTTACTGTTGTATGTGAAATTGAAATTATGTGAAATTGAAATATTATGGAATGGGGTGAAATTCTGATTGGCTAATTTGATTTTCACATATGTAAATTTGATTTTCACATATGTGAATTGCGAATTCACATAATTTCATTTCCACGTACAACAGAACCGAAGCAACAATGAAATAGAGAGCTTTTTTAATAATAAAAAAAAGCCTTTGTGGTTTGAAGTTGGACGATTTTGCTATCAAATATGACAATATGATCCTTCCTATTTGGGAAAGGATCACTGAGACTCGTGTGAAATTGAGTGCGGGCGCGTATGTTATATAAAAAATGCACACATTTTGTTGATCAAAAAAATTTTTTAGTGAATTTAAACTATTTATTCTTTTTTATTTGTCCAATGTTCATATTCTTTTTCAAAATTTAAAATCTTGAATATCTAGACCATTTAGTAAAATCATTAAATACTATTAAGCATTTTTAAATGAATAAATAGCAATAAAAAATTGTTTTTTTTATCTAGATTTTTTATTGATTTGATTGAACTGAAATATTGAATTTTAAAAAACATCTTGTATTTATGGTATTTTAATCAATAATCATCAATGACAAAAAATGGAATTATTCTAGTATAATAAATAAAAGTATATTTGTTTATTTTTGGTTATTAATAAAAATAGAATTATACCTGAAACCATCAATGATTTATTGTTAACAAAAATGGAATTTTTGGTTATCAATAAAAATAGAATTATTCTAATATAATAAAGTATGTTTGTAATAAATCTTAATTAATATATTAATTAATATAATTTTTTTCGATTTGTTACACGCACTGGACCAGAACAAATTATCCCTTAAACGGTTAATCAGCTATTGATAGCCGATAAAATTTTTCTGATATAAAGGTTTTTCTGAGGGCATCACTTTCTTATACGATCAATCTATAAATAAAAATCCGGTTGTTGTCCATGTGTTTCTCGTAAAATCTTCCTTAAAAGTTGGTCGATCGACTATTTTTATTTTGCAGATTGTTAAATTGACAAATAAGAATGCAGGATCGGGATCAAAACTTTAATTTGTGTTTACCATTAAGAGATAAAATTCGGTTCAGAAAACCATTGTTATATTAATATATATTAATATATATATATATATATTTTCGTATACAATCAACAAATAATACATTACTATTACTAACAATTTTACATTCTTCAAATTAAAAAAATGCCAAAACGAAGTAAACAAGCTGCACATTTAAGTAATGCTAGAAATGTTAAAAAAACAAAGTCAGATGAATAAAAATGCATCAAGTGAAAAAGAAATTGATTATAATGATTTCGTTTATGAGACTGACGATTCTGGTGATGAATGGTTTAATGAAAGCATGTTCGAATTGTTCGTTTTATTCGTTTATTCGAGTAAAAATTTATTTGAATACTCAAATTCATAACGAATACAAAATGATTGAGTCATGTGATGTTATAATCCCGTGACACCAAAGAGTATCATTACTATTTTGGGATTTGAAGATTTGGCAGTACGCACAGTATTAGATGGCGCGCACTATATATATACTTATTTTTGCTCCAGAAAAGATTTAATATCTAGCTGCAGAACTAACTTGAGCTCGAGAATTTTATCTCCAAGATTTCTTTTTCATTATTAAACTTACTGTGTGGGATTTGATGACGATTGCGAGTTGAAGACATTCAATTGTTTTACGTTTGACTATTATACTTCCTGCGACATATCGTTTAACTATTAGAGCTTTCTCGAATCACACTTTTATACGCACAGACAAGTAATTTTATCACAAACAGAAAAAAGTAAGATGTCTATATTTAGTTTAAATTTAATATTAAAATTTTGAATTCTTGCATTGTTGTAATTTTGAAAATATGTAATATTTAACGGAACAAAAATATTTGTTGGGATTGTCATGATTCCAGGAAACATCTTGTTAAATCGGAAATCGAAGACTTAAAAGTTATGTTTGAATTTTTGATCAATGTGTATTGATTATATTTAAATTTATTAATTTACTATTAATGGAAAAAATCATTTTTATGACAATTTTGATCCTATTGCAATAAATTTATTCTAATTATAATTTGTTTTTCTTCTTTGAAATTGAAAAGGAAGAAATTTTAAATATTTTAAATACCTTCTAATCTTACATTTCTTGTTGCTGAAGGTATTGTTACGGTTATTCCATCCAATTCTTTCTTCATAACTATTTGACACCCTAGCCTTGAACTAATTTATTAATTAATAAATTTTAAATTAACATCATATATTTCAAATAAATAAATAAATTGAGTCATACGTTTCTGTTAAACCAAATGCCAAATCTAACATATCATTTTCTTCGTCTGTGGGTTCCTCTAATTTATTATAATATTCAGGATCAACAATAACATGACATGTTGAACATGCTAAAGATCCTTCACATGCACCTTAATAAAATAATATAAAATAATCATGATTTAATATAATCATTTTTAAAATAACATAATGTCAAAATAATTGCATATTATTACATACATTCCAGATCAATATCATTATCATGATCATGTGATATATCCATTATACTTTCACCTTCATTAGCTATTATTGTTTTTTTTTCTCCTTCAGGTGTAATAAAATTAATTGCTACACTTATTTAAATAAATTGATTTCATGATTTAGAAATAAATTGATGCATGTTTTATTTAACAATTGAATTACTTACCCATCCTTATGGTTATTAGGAGAAGAAGCATTTTCTTTATGTTGATAAACTTGAAAATTATTTAAAATAAATAAATGAATAAATAAATAATATTTAATAAAAAACATAAAACATTTAAATACCTTTAGAATTCGTGAAGTTTCGAAAGTGATAATAATAAGGTATCTTCACCGCTAAATCATTATTTAAAGTTTGATAACTGGTGAGAAGTTTAGTCGATTGTGTTTGCTTTATATAATTTATGTTTGAAAATCTATTAATTGTTGTAAATTTCAGTATGTTTGAGAAAGAATTCATTTTATTCGAAAAATCGGATCAGTTAAATTGATCAACATTGTCCTTTTTCATACGTTATGTAACATTAAAAATGAAAAAATTTTTTATCAAAAATTTTTTTTTCAACTATCGTTAGCATACATATATGTTTAAGGTAAAAAGATAATAATAATTTACGATTATATAAAGATAATGATGAAATAAATGTTGGCACCAGTCTGAAAAATGATGCAAAAAACAACTTATTATGAATGCTTTGAAAATAATAATATACGCAATAAAAGCATTCCTGAATTATATAACCAATTATTTTTTATAATAATAGAAAGTTTGTAGACTAATATTATATAAAATTTTTTTTATACAACAGGTATTGGCCGAAAGAGTAGAAAAATATGAATTGATAGATTGAAATTACAAAAAATATTTTTTTTATAAAGATGATTAAGGGATATAATATAACACTTATCAACTAAGTGTGATGAAACAATTGATAAGATTATAATTAATAATCTCATATATAAATATATATGAAATATTTTTTTCCAACAAACTATTATAATTTGACCTTGAAAATTTATTAAAAATAAGCAATATTTTTTTTTCACTTAAGTGAAAAATCATGTTGGCGAAAATTGTTTTTCAATTAACTTCATTATTATTTTAATAACATCGTCACGAGTAAATCTTGAGCCAGATTTTCCAACATAATTGATGATATTAGATGTGTTAGAAAATACATGTTTTCATTTAATTATTTGAAACAAGTTGAGTAAATTTGGTATTGAATGCCTCCTATAATAATAATAATAATAATTATAATTATAAATAAATAATCTTTTCATTAAATTCAAATAGAAGTAAAAAATTATTAATCAATGAATTACTTGTAAAATATTAGCATCTTGGTAGATTTCAGATTCATCCTCGTTAAAAGTACGAGCATTATCAAACATTAAAATCATGTCATTGAAAAATTCATCATAAGATTTGTAATGTCCACGATTAATACGTTTACGTAAAAGATTAAGAGATACTGGTTTCTTGATTGCTTTATAATAAGATGGGTATTCTCTTCTATTAGGAAGATCAAGAAACAACTCGGCTCTTTTTCGTGGTTTTCTACAAAATAAAAAATTTATTGAATTAGATAATTCAATGCGTAAATGTATAAATATATTATTAATATAATAACAATTGACTTACTCATCCGAGTTATCGATAAAGCTTTCAAGATGAACAATACATTGATGAAACACTTTTTTCATTTTAATTGAAGAGCTTTGATCGACCATCTGTCTTTTCTATTATTCAAATGTTAAATATTAATTAACATGTCATTATGTATTATGACAATAATATAAGTAAATAATCTCACTGATTGTGGAATATCTTCATCATCTCCATCTCCATCATCTTCATCCTTTATGAAATCAAGTTTATGTTTTCTTGAGCTACGAGAAGAACTCGGTGTAGTAGAAGATCCAGAATCAGTAAATTTTTGTTTTAATCTTCGTGAATAATTATTACTACTGCTTGCTACATTGCTGTTATTCCCTTTAATTTCATTACCATCCTCATCACTAATTTTCATTTCCATTCTTTTTCTCCTATATTTCTTGCTACTAATCTTTTTTGGCTTTTCATCTCCTGATTCCATATCTTCTGCTTTACGTTTTCCTTTTCTGTCCCTTTGATTATGTTTTTTTACTTTCAATCCATCTTCCTGTTCCTCATCTTCTTGCTCCTCTTCCAAATCAAAATCATCGGCAACTTCTTTTCCCTTACTTTTTTTTTCAAGGTATGCTTTTTTCTTTTTAGTAATTAAATCCGTCACATCCAAGTTCTTTTCAAGTGCCTTTATTTTATAAATATTTAAATACATATAAATACCTATGTATATAATCGCATATTTTTATTTAAATAAATATACCTTCAAGTATTGATCTTCAGTCAAACCATCATCATAGAAAACTTCTTTTCGCTGTCTTTGTCCTCTGCCATATTCTTCAACATTTTCAGATCTAATTTCTTGATATTCTGCTAAATACAAAGGAGGTAATTCATGTTCTTCAACTAATCTACTTTTCCTAATATTACTATTTCCTGAGCTTAGCCATTCTTTTTCTTCGTTTTTTTCTCTCTCATCATCAATCTCTCTAAAGATCCTTATTTCGTCATCACTGCGTGCCAAAATTTCATTAATTTCATCATTATCAAGAACTTCATTATCAAGAACTTCATTTGTTTCATCATTATCTCCACTTTCTAATAATGATCTCTAATATAATATAAATTTAATAATTAATTAACTAATTACTTAATTAATTCAATGAATGAATAAATAAATACACCATACCAAATATGCTTCACGTTCTTGAGCAGTACTTTTATGATCAAATTTTCCTGCTTGGATCACCTTCCCATCAATATCAAGTTTGAATTGAGCACGTGCTAAAATATTTTCTTCGATTGATTTTTGTGAAATCAATCGTAGAACTTTAACTTCATTCTTTTGCCCAATTCTATGAGCTCGATCCTGAGCTTGCAAATCTTGATGAGGATTCCTAAGTAAATAAATTTATTATTATTATCATAAGGAATGAATATAAATAATAATAATAATAATAATAATAATAATAATAATAATAATAATAATAATAATAATAATAATAATAATAATAATAAATTACACACCAATCAGAATCAAAAATTATAACAGTATCAGCTGTTTGTAAGTTTAATCCTAAACCACCAGCACGAGTACTTAACATGAAGATGGAATAAGGTGAAGCAGGATCACTGAATTTCCCTAAAAGATCAGTACGTTCTTCTGGCTAAAGGTTTATTTTTTTAGATAATGTTATTATTCATAATAAATAACAATAACAAATAATATTACTATTAATATTTACTTTTGTTTGACCGTCCAATCTAAGATAAATGTATTCTCTCCATTCAAGATAGTCTTGCATTATATCCATGATTTTGGTCATTTGAAAAAATATTAAAACCTACATCATACATAAATAATTAATCATAATTAAACATTACATTGATAATAAACAAACAAACAAACAAATTACTTTATGATTGGTTTTAATTAATTTGGGTAAAATTCTATCAAGAAATTCAAATTTTCCTGATACACGATATAGATATTCATTATTACTATTGCTCTTATTAATATCTCCTTCAACCTCTTTGAATACAAATGGATGGTTGCATATTTTCTTTAGTTGCATTATAGTATTATTTAGACCCTTAATACCAGTTTTCCTATTATATATATTTATACAAAAACAAATAAATATAATATAATATAAATATTTTTGAAAAAGGAAAAAAAACCTACCCTTTTTCTCCCTTATTAACAAATATTGCACCATGTGTTTTCATCTGATTGTATAGTTTGACCTGAAGTGCAGATAATTTAACTTTTATTACTCTTTCTACCTTATCTGGCAGTTCAGATTCGACATCTTTTTTTAACCTTCGTAAAAGAAAAGGCCGAAGTACTTTGTGAAGACGACGGATAATCAAGAGTGTCTCCTCTTCATTCAAAGCAATTTTATCTTGACCTCCAGTATTTGCAAAAGGTGTATTAAACCATTCATCAAAACTATCCAATGAATTGAAGATTTTTGGCAGTACAAAATTTAATAATGACCACAATTCTGGTAAATTATTCTATTATGTTATTTTAAAAAAGATATCATTCCCAATAGGTAAATAAATAAATAGACTAATTAATAATAATTAAACCCAAAATGTATACAATAAAATAAAATACTTGTAGTGGAGTGCCAGTCAAGATTAATCGGTATCTGAACTTATATTTAGTGCTCAACACCATGGATAACTTAGAATTGACATTCTTCATACGATGGCCCTCATCAACTATTACATACAACCAATTCACTCTACTCAATGGTTTATTATCTCTAATAACATATTCATATGTTGTTAAAAATACTTGAAAATCAATATGTTTCAAATGTTTTAGTTGTATGTTTTTCCTTTCATTAGGACCTCCTTTATAGACTATTTTTTTAACATCTGGTGCCCATTTTTCCAATTCCATTATCCAATTCGTTAATGTTCTATTTGGTATAAAAAATAAATTATATTGATTATTAAAATCATAATATTAAAAATATAATTGACATTATTACTCACGATAATGGAACAATTATTAGAAATGGTCCATTTTGTTTCTTTTTTTCAATTAAACATGTAATCAAGGAAATTGTTTGAATTGTTTTCCCCAATCCCATTTCATCTGCTAGAATACCATTCAAACGATTATTATATAACGACACCATCCATTCTAATCCCTTTAATTGATATTCTTTCAATATGCCACCTTTAAGTATCAACGGTTGCTTTACTTCTTCTTTTATCCTATGTGCAACTTGGTAATAATCAATTTTTTTTCCATCCTAATTATTAATTGACAAAAAATAACAATCAATTTCATATTAATAGATGATTATGATATAATGATAGTATCATGTTAAATAAATCAATTACTGTTGTTTCAATGATATTGTCTTCGTCAATAACTGGTGATGAAAATATAGTGCTGGGAACGAAATGAGTGTTAATCATTGAATTATTATTAAAAGGTTCATTTTGTTGAGTGGAAACTGCTTTTGCCAATTTTTCAAGATATTGATCAGTTTGTTTTAATAAATGACTGAGTCTGGTGTCTTTAGTTTCATCAATCAATTTCATGTATGCCTCTTCATCATCGTTTTTTAAAGCATTCAACCTTTCTCGTTGGAATTTATCTTGCTTTCTTTGTTGTTCTTTTTGAACAGATGCATGATAGTTTAAGACTGCCCTACCAAATGCAAGTTTTTTATCCCTCATTAACTCAGATATTGTGACATAATCTGCATACGTTGCTTTTATCTGAAACAAAAATCTATTTCGCTTGGCTTTCTTTTTGTTGATTTTTTTCTGTATACGATCTTGTTCACGTTTTTGAATATATGACAAAGTGTACTCTACTTTTTCTTCTGGTCGTCTATATTGTAAAATATCATCAAGTCTCTGTGGTTTATTATACATCGGACTGTATTGAAAAACATTATTACGAATCTATAAATTATTATTTTCAAATTAAGAGTTTTTTTTATAACTAAATAATTAATTAACTAATTGAAATGAGTGAATGAATGAACGAATGAATGAAATGAATGAATGAATAAATAAAATCGTTATTGCCTTTTGTTGATGATCATATAATCTTAAAGCCTTTAATTCTATTACGGCTTTGAGCTTAGGATTTGAAACAGGTTTGTTGTCATCATCAAAAGCCAATCGTTGTTTCAATGGTTCATTTGATAAATTTGCTGGTAAATTCTCAAGAGCTTTAATTCTTTCGTTTCTTCTATTTCTAAGCTCTATTTCTATTAGTTCAGCTTGATTTAGTGCTTTAATAAGTACTTCAGGAGGTATTGGTATGAAATTAGCAGCAGCTGAAGTAAAAGTAGAAACATCGTTTGTTTCTGGTGTTGATGATAATGATTTTAAAGATTCTTGTATATATTTTAGTGAATTTATTGTATTATCAAGTTCACAACCATAAATGTTGGCATATGTTTCCAATGCTTGCTCATGTTCCGAGTCTCTTGCCATGGCAACAAAAATATGAGATGGCACAATTTGGTTATTACATAAAAGTGAGTACGCATATTTTTGACTCATCAGTCGTCTTTTTCTTTCTTCAGTGAGCTTTATAGGTTTTTTGGTACTAGTCATTGTTGTATGTGAATCCATTTTTTTTTAAAAAAAAAATTTCGTGTTTAGAAAATAAAAATTAGTTACACGAATCGACATCATTCAAAAAAAAATTTTTTTTTTAAACGTTTATAAAATTGTTATTATGTCCGGAAGAAACAATTCATACAATGATCAATACACATATGATTCCAAGCTTTATGCATCAGTAACACCGGCAACGGATAATTCTCTACAGCAACCAATTCACCAATCTCACCAATATCAACATTATAATAATAATATTGATAGTAAATACACAAATTATCCAACATCAACAAATAAAACCTATCAACAAAACAGTTATAATTATTCTTCTCCTCCATCTTTTAACAATTACTATTATCATCAACCACCTACAGGTCCAGCATCAACGTCAAAAATGTCAATTGCGCCTAAAACAACAGTAGAAGCATTACCATCAGTAACAGGTAATAGTAATTCTACTGCATTTAATATAATAAATTTTTTTTTTCTCCAAGTAAACTAAGTAATAGTGTTGGTGGAATGGGGAAAAATAATTTTAATCAAAAACATAATAGTTCAATGAAAGATGAAACCATTGATTTTGTAGATCACAATAATAACGGTAATACTAGTGTTAATAATAATAGTGGTGGTGGTGGTGGTGGTGGTAAAAACCTGAATTCCAAAAAGAAACAAAAAACAATAGTTAGAGCAGCAGGAGGAGAAGTTTGGGAGGATTCTACATTGTTAGAATGGGATTCTAGTAAGTAATTTTTTTTACACATTTGCAAGAATATACTAAAATCACTAAAAATTACAAATTGTAAAATATAATAATATCATTCATTACTAATAACATATTCAATCTTGGATATAATTATAATAGATGATTTTAGATTATTTTGCGGAGATCTTGGTAATGAGGTAACAGATGATATGCTTTACAAAGCATTCAGTAAATATTTATCAATCCAAAAAACCAAAGTGATTCGAGACAAAAGAACGGGTAAGAGCAAAGGATACGGATTTGTTAGTTTTAAAGATGCGGATGAATTTGTCAAAGCATGGAAAGAAATGAATGGTAGGTTTAATATATATATTATCATGGGAAAGGTTTTGCTGGTCGCTGGTAGAGATTTTTTATTTGTAAATAATGACAATAGTAATAATTGGACACTAATTTATTTAAATTACTATCAATTAACCAAGGTAAATATGTTGGAAACAGACCAATTAAATTGAGAAAAAGTAATTGGAAAGATAGAAATTTTGATGCCAAATCAAAGAAACATCATCCTTATTAAATAATTGCAATATTGATGCATATCGAAAGTTGAAACATATTCCTGCGTTCTTTAGAAAAATAATAAAATGAATATTTATTTATACTTTTGCTGTCTTTATAATTGATGTATCGATTTATAAAAAAAATTTTTAATATAACAATAACTTTATTCTCATAAAAAAAATCATAGCAACATGTCTGAACTTTATTTGAAATTAGAAAACTTGGTGAGGGTAAGAAATTAAACTATGATCGGGAGCAAATAGTTACCAAATTTGATTTTTAAAGGAATGTATGGTGTTGTTTACAGGGAAAAAGAGATAGCAGCTGGAAAATGACTGATTTTGGCAAAAGCACCCATTTGCTCTTTAGAACTGAGCTTTTTTTTGATATAATCTATTCGAGAAACCTGTATTCCAGTTAAACATTATACATGAAGTATATTAGATCGATATATTAGATAATTGTTTTGTTGATAAAAGCATTTGATTTTGTGAATATAACATTGTATTACAGATCATCTGAAATCAAGATACCCAAGTAGTATTGGATGTATTTTTGCTGGAATAATTGGCAAAATATAAATAATTACCATCATTAATATCGTCATTGTCATTATTCCTTTTTAATTCAATTATTACTCATACTCACAATATATGTAGATGCGTGTGATGGAAAAAGAAAAAGAATCAAGCAGATAAAAGCTCTCTCAAGTGAGTCTTTAATTTTGCAAAATCTCGAATACCTTCAGCAAGTTTTTCTGTAGCCATAGCATCTTCATTAAGTGCCCATCTGAAACCTTTTTCATCAAAGGTAACTTTTTCTTAACTAATTATAAACCACGATTAACAATTTGTTGTGAAGTGCGTATATTTGACGTATATAAATAGTATGCATGCATAATATACATGCATTATGTATATACAAACATTTTACACATAAACACAAATAACTTACCATTTTCAGGACTTAGGTTACGTTTAATGGTTTTTTTAGTATCAGAATGTAATTGTTCTAACAATTTTGGACTAATAATCAAAAGATCACAACCAGCTAATTCTTCGCCTTCCCCTGTGTTACGGAATAAAGCACCCATAACAATAGTTTTTACAATAATAATAAATTTTAGTGACAGATTTTACACCTGGATCTTCTTTAGCTGAGAAATCATGTCCTGTACTTTTCTTATACCAATCAAGAATACGATCAACAAATGGTGAAACCAAAGTTACGCCTGCCTCAGCACATGCGACTGCCTATTATATATGAGAGGAAGAGAAACAGGGAGCAAGAAAACAAACAAATATGTAAAAAGAATTTAATAATAACCTGAGGGAAAGAGAAAGTAAAGTGAGATTACAATGGATTCTTTCTTTCTCAAGTATTAAGCAGCTTTAATGCCTTCCCAAGTAGAAGCAATCTTGATTAATATTCTTTCCTTACCAATACCAGCTTCCTCATAAAGTCCAATCAAACAGTTAGCTTTAGCAATAGTCCCTTCAGTGTCAAATGATAAAATTGCATCTACTTCAGTTGAAACTCGCCCAGGAATAATTTTAAGAATTTCATTATCAAAATTAATCAACTATAATTATGTATTTGCGTGAGTTATATATATATATATATTAAGATATTATAAGTATTCTCCAATTTTACCAATTTATCAGTTGCTAATTCAACTTTTTTATCAATTGATCTATATAATAGATATGTGGAATATATTGTGAAATGATGAGCATAATTAGGTTTTTGTGTGGCTTGTAAAATCAAGAAAGGTTTGTTGTTGCATCTTGAGGCTTATACTTGGCAATCGTTCTTGTATAAATAGGATTAATTGATAAAAATTATGATTGGTGTTGGTTGAAGAATTTATTAATTTATTGAAAAAACTCTTACATTCAAAATAACCAGTGTCAGCAACAACTTTAGTGTATTGTTTAATTTGATCAAGAACAGAAGTCACGAACTCATGCAAACTTGTGTAGTAATTTCGAATTCTCTTTCATCTAAATAATTTTTTTTGTCTATAGTACACAGAAAACATTACAACTAATGAAATGAAGTAATCTTGCCCTGATTGCAACCCACTACGTCAAAACTTCTCACCATAATTTGGAATGATCAAGCCATAAGTTGTACTTCATGTGTCCTCTTTGCTTTTGAGCATTTATTAATAGAACACAATCCAGAACAAGTTCGGAATCTATCTCAAGTATTCAAGTATTATTTATTAAAATAAATTTAAATTTTTTTTTGTTGTTTATATAGTTAATTTTTTTAAATTTAACTGATGTCACATGATTTTTATTATAAAATCCGCTAATTCCAAATTTCTCGTTTTTAATTTAGCGGATAAATTTCTTGGACCAAACTTATCCGTTAAATTAGTATAGTTTTATAGTCGTACTATATACGTGGATCACTCTACCCTTAAGTTGATATTATCGATGATGTCATAATGCTGATGATGTCATGATGTCGACAATGTTGGGGATCATTAATAATAAATATTGCAAAATTCGTTTTTTTTTTTTAAAAATATTTTTTTGCTTCTTTGTAGTAAATATGGCAGCAGCACCATCATATGCAGAAGTTTTGAAAAAAGATACCGATATTGATAATAAAGAACATGATAGTAGTGAAACAGAAGCTAATTCCACCCTCCACAACACCTCCAGTTATTCTTACGAACCTAGTGCTTCTAAAGGTATAATAACAATAAGCAGTGGTGGGGTAGATGATAACTATACATCTAGAGGAGGAAGTGATAAAAAATCGAAAAAATTATCAAAAAAAACAATTATTCTAAGTGCTACTTTAGATATCGCTTTAGCTGGAATGCTGATTGGCTGGATTTATAAGAAACCTACTGCTACTAAAATTCAAATTGGTGTTGGATCAATTGGCTTATTAACACTATATGGCGCTCAATGGTAATCTTGATTGATTATTTTAATTATTGTTATAATAATAATTGTTATTAACTAATATTTATATTTTCAAATTTACTTTTAGGATTACATATAAAAAATATAAATATTAAATTATTTCTATTATTTCCCCAATCTTTTCAATTATTTTAAATCATACTTCATTAATTACTTTACATACATCTTCACCCCCAAAGAATGTTATTCTTTTTTAACGAATCGATAATAATTAATAAATAGTAATAATTAATAAATAATATTTAATAAAAGAAAATAAATTACAGTTACGATCATATAAAAATTTCTCTACATGTGTTAGAAACATTACTATTATACAAAATACCTTTAATACTAAGAACAACCTCCCAATAATAATAATAACAACATTTTTGGAAAAAGTTATTATTACTATCTCGACACTGGAGAATAAACTAATTGATAATTCAATATTTTTTTGATCCACTAAGCTTTTTCAATAAAAAAATGTACATAGAAACAACTTTTAAGAATATTATCTTGTAAACCAACGCCCCATTGAAGTTGTACCATGCTCGTAATTTTGTGTACATCACTACCACTAAGTCAGCGATAATACGCCAAAACAGATGTTATGTGCTATTAACAACATATATACCTGATTTTTGCTTTTATATTTTTTTTCGCAGAAAATAATTTCCAATTGGTTAGCCTTTCAGTATTAGTAGATTCCACTATAAAAAATTACTAATACTAATGATTAAATCGATAATTTTGATTATTTATTATTTTAACACACTCTTTAAACCAAAAGAATTATGCTCATTGTTGAAAAATGTGGGAATCATCAATTAATATTCATTCATCAGATAAGAATTATGTAATTGTTTAATATATCGTAAAGTGCAAGACACCTAGTCCTGCAACCTTTTTTTGGTCTTGTAGATCCTTTAGCATTCCAAAAATAGGAATATAGCATCAAAAAAACGAATCGTGGTTTTGAAGCCAAGACCTTTTGCTACAAAGTTACAATGTATAAACAAACATATATGAAAAAATAGATATAAGAAATAAATTTTTTGTCTATTTAATTAGGTGTTGAAAATCGCAGTTATTGACCTGGTGATTGTATCGTTGAGACATTTTGTTTTGATGGTAATATTGATAAAGATGTTCATGAAGATACTTATCGTGTTAGCAATGATAATGATAAATATATTGCAACTTTGAAGCCATGATAATGTGAGAAAGGTCATGGATTTAATTCTTGATTTTGGTCTTACATCTTCATTTTTGGAGGAATTAAAGAATCTGCAAGACCAATAAAAGTTGTGGGTTTTGAAACGAGTTTAATTTTGGGGGATAAATTGGATGAAGAAGCTTTGCAATAGTAAATTATACTTATCTCTATTAATAAATATAAAAGTTTTGGTAACTAGATATAAAGTAACCATTTAAAAATATTTCTAATAATAGTGAAATATATGTTATTATTATGGTTATTATTATTTGGAGTGTTGAGAATGTTAGATTCCTGTAAAAAAAATTATTGATATTTTTCAAAGAAATATTTGTACTTTATGCAATTTTATTTTAGGTTTCTGCAAATATATATATATGTAAAATATGTGTGTATGAATGTGTATAATCTAAAGAAAAAAAAATTTACATTGATTTTGAAAGAAATCTATCAATCATTGTTATTATGCTAAAAAAATATGAAATGTGAATTGTGATTTTTTTGAGTGTGTAAGATGAGTAAACATGCGTAAATGTGTGAATGCAAGTATGTATAAATGCAGAAATTTATATCTGTCTACCTAATCTATCTATCTATTTAATTAACTAACTAATGAATTAGACGCTGGTTATTAAGAATGTGGTGGCTAAGATAACAATTATAATTATATAATGGTAATGGTGTTTTTAACGAGTATTGGATTTTTAATCAGAATCTACAAGATTGTCATTACTATCATCAAGATTCAGTAATGTTAGATGATTGATGGAGTTGAGGTTAACAATGCATTACTACTATATGATCTACCAGATAAAGTACGTCTTATCTTTCCACTTTTATCACTACAAAAATGATGCATTGTCGGGTAGGAAG